AAAGTCCAGATTGAGTCTGGTAGTGTATAAATTGACTTGCAGTTTCTGGAAGACTAGTGTTCAAGGCTGACGAGGGATCCAATCGAGCCGGGTAGCTTCATGATCCCAGCTCCTCGCAGAGAAACCTCGATAAGGAAGTTAAGTGACCGATGGAAGGTTTTGTAGTCAGTGAGGAACGATGGCAAGCACTGAGAATTCGTGGACTCTTCAATCCTTGACATTCAGGCATATGCTTTATTGATGTCCCATCAATCAAGGGTATTCTCAAACATTCCATTTTACCAGGCTCCTTTGGGAGGTGGTGGAGATCAATCTTTCTAAATTCACATGCACCTGAAATCTAGCATCTAACAGCACCATTTCGACATCGAAAGGTCGACCTGATCTAACTGAATGGAGGTCATACAGCAATCCCTTTTAAGGCAGTAAGTCCATGTCAAACTTTCCCTTCCGTCTTGGTAGCTTGTAGATGTATTTTCCCTTTAAGATAGAGAACGTTGATGTTTGTCCCTTGAAACCAGCATGCGAATCGAACAAAGTCAACGTCTAGCAAGTTAGTCAACAATCGTTGAGCTGCTGCTGCTGCTGCTCCTCCTCAGAGCCGTGGGACAGGGTCTCGTCGCACGATGCCCGCTGCTTCTAGGGTCTCGCCAGCCATGGCGGTGCTGAAAACCGGTTTCGGCAGAGATCGGTCGATTGATCATCGGTCAAGGTCGTCACTGTTTGTGCTAGAGAGGGAGAGAGGCCGAATCAGAATCCGAGGGACGATCCGAAATTAAAAAAGGGAGGAGGATAGAGTCAGACTGAACGGTGGGAGAATCGTACCCGTTTGATCGGAGACGGTGTCCGAAACTGGAGGAAGCAGAGGAGGGTTTGCGTTTTTCATTATTTTGTTTTAAATTGTTTTCTGGCTTTTCATTTTTCTTCTGTTCTCGAAGTTTATGGGCGCGTTCTTCTACATGTAAAACATTCAACCCCGATGATCGTGCAATTCATATCTCCAATCGAGCAATTATGGGAAAACAAATACCATGATTTCCGATTGCAGTCGCTTTGTCAATAGTCGCGTCAGTTTTTAGACAAAATGACCCGACTCAAAATCAGAGTTAATTTATCTAATAAAAAGCTATTGCATCCAATTCAATATAAGTCATTTAGAGAGTATTCAAGAATTGTTGCGTAATAGCAAGTCATCATATTGTCTCTCTCCACAACTCGTAATTAAGCTCAACTTGGTAGGCACTTAGGTTGAATTACATTCTTTTCAAATTTGGAGAACTCGAGTTATTAGATCAATTCGAGCTTGACTTTGAAAATATTTGACTCGAGAAGCTTGCCATCGTAATGGAGTAATCACATTTTCCTATACCTCCACAACAGATAAAATATTAACTTGAATTCAAGCTGGAACCAACTAATTGAACCGGTCCCGAGTCAAAAATGCTAATGTGGAGACATCAAAGGAACCCAAAGTCCAAAAAAGCACGTCTCATTCTGTCAAGGCTAAAATACAACTGCAAGGCATCGCCGTGCAGGTCTTTCTGAACGTTCCCATCTTAGCGAAACTTCCTTCAGTGCCCCTCACGTAAACGACGAAATCACCGAATCTGACACCGAATAATGCCCGCCAACAGAAGAAGATCTGAGGGCAAATCAGGAAAGATCCGTCAATTTGTCGTCCCCTCCTTCCTTCGCCCCAAATCGCTGTAGCTTTCAACTCCATTGCCGTAGATTGAATTCGAGCAATACGAACAAAGATCGTAGTGAATGATCCCTCTGGCCTACAATTGGATGTTTTCAAAGCATATAACCGACCTGCGATGAGTTGTATTTGGTTGGTTCTGTTAAGCCGCTAGATTACCGAGTTTGGATCAATGATACACCTGGAATAAGGTCAGATTGGTCGAATTTCCTTATATTTGTTAGATGCGAATCTCAAATCCTGCTGTTTCTACTTTGGGGATAGATTTTGTTAGAGTGCCTCACGGTGATTGAATATCGGCTATTCAGCTTTTGTCCAGCTGAGTTATGGACCATTTGAGAGGTGTGGCTCGTCGCCTTCTCAGCTAATACTTGCAAATTATCTATTGTAATAGAAAAAAAAAGGCAAAAAGGAAACAACTTGCAGACAATGCGAGACTGCCTATGGTAAATCTTCAGACTTGGATGAAATTTTGTCACACTTGTATTCATCTCAAATTAAAGGATTTGGATTTTTCGATCCAAAAAGAAATTAAAGGATTTGAGTCATTATTTCATATTAAGCTTGACATTAAACAACGTTAGACCAAGTCCATTTGCAGCTGGAAACATTCCTGAATACAATCAATAATTGGTATAGCTTCTCTTCAACTCCTGTGAATTCAATTAAGGGCCGTGCTTTTGCGCCAAAACAAATTAGACATGTGTTTAGAAAAAATTTAATCAACAATTAGCAAAATCCTGCGAAAGCTGATAGGAGATGATTTTCGCGAGAGTTGTTTTCACAACACGAACCATACCCATGATTTCATTCATGTGACTGTTGACTCCGACCGAGCATTTGGATACTATCAAATGAGCCGTTTTCAACTCATCGAAAGCTTGCTTGGCCACGTTTCTCCAAACCTCTCCTTCATTACCGATATTTATTGGAGGTAGTAGTTGAAGGAATTAGAGAGTCACATCGAACCAAACTATGCTTCAAAAAAAAAAACCCCATTCAAACTACTGCAATAAACTATTGTCAATTGATTCTTTCAAGATTTCTAATTAATTTATGGATTTATTAATTGTGTCAAATGATAGTGAAAAAGACTTTGAATTGAATGGCGTTGTTTTGCAATGGAAAGAGGATTAAGATGGTCCTTCTAAGTTAGTGAAAAAGGGACAGTGTGAGTTGGCCCTTAGTTAGTTAGTGCCAAAGGAACTCAATGGAAGGCCATCCAGGCATCCAATCACTTTGTCATTGGCTTAGTTTGGTCCAGCAAAATTTAGGAGATACAAGTATATTTCTGGATTCTTCTACTTACAAATCTTGCTGTTATTCGCAACTTAAAAGTACATATAATATCGAGAGAAATATCAATAGAAAATATAGAGCATGAGTAATATTTTTATTTTATTTTCTAATTGTAAAGGGGAAGTCAAAAGCAAAAGTAATAGAGAATGTTTTTGTGTTTTCGAACAAGCCCTTTTTTAAGGTAAACTCAAATTCTACCCTCGCAATTTGACTAAGCTTTGTAAATTGACTTAGCGTCGTTAAAGGAACATAGGGTTTTGATTCAAGCTTGATGCGCCATTTTCGGTCAGGCTAGAAGAAGTAATTTTCTCATGAAAGTCCCGTGAGAAATACTATGATGCTCTGGGAGCCCCACATTAGCATAAAGTCAAAGCAGTCGGAGACTGGTAAAATTCATTGAAATATATTTCTTGAAAAAAGGTAAAAGTTCAAGAATTCACGACTTTTGGTGCTTAATGATAGTTTGGCACTAATTTCTTATTAGAGTTTGAACTATCTCCCATGCGATCTTCTTATCCCAATTCAATTCCTTTCCGATCTCAAGTATGCAACTTCTCTCTTTCAAATGACGTTTTCAAAGATAAATTCAAGTAGATAGATCACACACCTCACTAGACCAAGTTGGTATAGCAAACCCACACACGAATGCAATAGTTACGTGGCATGCATCGGTGCAACCATTTTCACCACTTTAACTACAATAATTCAGATAAATAGTTCCGATTATGCCAATTTAATTGCCTGTGTAGTTACTAGATTAACCTATATTGAATGTCCTCCTATTGTCTCATTTAATGTTGACTATTTCTTCGCTTGCTTATTGAAAACATTCAATCGAACCCAATTATCAAATAAAATGTTTCGAAGAAAAGCACGAAAGCCTGCATATGATTTCATCGTATTGCATTTGGTCGATGTTAGTCACTGAAGACATATGCACCTTTGCTTTCTCTTATTAACATGGACTTTGTTTCTTTAGCAAGCCTGAAAAATGGACTTAAGGAAGATGTCCGCACACAAGCGAGGGTTTTCTTGGGACAATTTCTCATCAAACGTTCTTCCAACCAATGTTCTCTGGGGATTTCAATTCTCCTTCCAGAATTGTGCGGGCTTTCTCTGAATAATTTCCCTCGAATGCTTATACATAGCGAATTTTCCATGGGTGAATCTAACTATTCTCAATCTATCTCATAGTGAAATTACACATCATTGGAAAGCATGGGGCCACATTGAAGGTAGGTTACTATGCTATGTGACATGTATTAGCATCCGATTTTATAAGATCAAACATTCGAGTAATTTACATGATTTTAAATCTGACCGGCTGCCGCTGTTGCTCGAAGGGAACCCCTAATTTCTCTGCAACATGCAAATTTAGAAGATTTGATCCTACAAGAACATAGAAAATTGGTGACAATTGGTAAATCCATCGGTAAGTTAAAAGCGCTTAATGAAAAAACCAAATGACATCTACAGGAGTTCATCTCACACGATCTTGAAACAGACGAGTGCTCAAATACACGCAGTACCGAGGCTTCCGGCAAGTCTTGAAAGACTACGGTTGTCGCAATTGCACATGAAGACAACTTGCAGATCTCTCGAACCAGATTAGTGTAACAGGGTTCAGTGTGGGCTTTAGTGGAGGTGCTCGACCTCCTGAGCTTGCGGAAGATCCGATGGCCATGGTGGATTGGGGAGGCTTGATCATACTGGCAATCTTTAGAGTCGTTTCTCTGAACCTTATCAACAGATAAACAGGTCTTCCTTTCTCGACTCCAGACACTCGAGCTCCGTTGCTCGAAATCTGCATTACCGAATCCCAGTGAAACAATCCTAGGAAACCCAGTAGAACAGCAACTCAACTCGAAGTGTCCTAACTCGACATCCTCGATCCGAAATCCCACGCTCATTCCAAAACTTCTTAAAATCACGTATTCACACACGAAGCACACGTCCACTTCCTAGCACAAAATGCCAGGAGATACCTATAACCACAGCCGACTCGGCGAACCCTGGCAAGCAAACAAGAGATCCGCCGAATCTGATCTGGCACCAAAATTCCAACTAATCCAGTAAAATACGGCGAAGGCAAACATCAAACCTCATCGCCCTCCAACTCGGCCTCGCCATTCTCGTCAACGTGGGGGGCGTGTTATTTAATTTAAGAGGCGTCGTTCCAGAAACCGGGTTCGAACCAGCTAATTGAACTAAGCTCGAGTCAAAAAGTGCTAACGTGGGGACACCAAAGGGAAGTCTCCATAAAGAGAGAGAACTGAGAAGATACAACCCCAAAATTGAATTTTCTTAGCTGAACTTCCTTCGGTGCCCTCACGCGAACGACGAAATCACCGGATGTGCCCTTCAACAGAAGAAGATCCCGAGGGCAAATCAGGAAAAAAGTCAGTAAAATTCACCGTCCTCTCCTTCCTTTGCACCCAAGTCGCCGTGGCTTTCAATCGCCATAAGAATCCACACGAACCTGCGAGACCGGAATCGAGGTTCGAATCCGAGCAATGCGGACAAAGATCGCGATCGATCACTCTCTATCTCGCTGCGCGATGGCGCCATTTGATCGCGTCTGCGCATGCGAAACGTGCGGCGATTGGATTTTTCCCGTGGCGCGGTTTTCGGTTTTTTCTCGATGACGCTGTTCGATCCGATTCTCTCGTAGAATGTAGAGCGGAACGGGTCGTGGTTGGGAGTGATGGTTGTTCTGACAACGCTTGATTGCAGCGAGTGGAGTGGGGCGAGAGGTAATTGCAATTCGCGTTCATGGCATCAGTTACTGCTGCCCTGATCCTCTGACTCAATCCGGATTTGGGAGTTTTGATAGTGAGAATTGACAGGCCCTGGTATTGAGTGGGTTGGTTTTGAGCTTGGACAGTGAGATTTGAATTGTGAATTTTGGCTGATTAGGCATTTCAGGGTTGGGGGGGAATAGTTGACTGTGTTGTGGAGCTGTGGTGCCTGATTGAATGGGACAGACTATAGCTGAGTGATCCCTCAGGTGTACGATTTGGATGTTTTCAAAGCATAGGACTGATAGTGTTGTGTTGTATTTGGTTCGTTCTGTTAAGCTCTTGGATTACCGAGTTTGGATCAATGCTACGTCTGGAATATGGTCATATTTGTTCGATACAAATTTCATCCTGCTGTTTCTACTTTGGGAATAAAATTAGTTCTTTAAGTTCACGAAGGACAGCAGATATATACTGAAAATATTGGTTTGGGTTGATGTTTCCTTAAGTGTTCCTCTCACTTGATTTGTCGAAATAGCTTGCTAGAGACATAAGAAACTTGCCTCGTTGCTTGTAATTGAATGAGCTTGTGACCGCATTTTCAATCTAAAATCTTCTCTACTGGTAAATGCAGAACTTTGAGTGAGGTCCAAGGCTCATAAAGCTGTTTACAATCACGCTCTTGTGACGATGGTCGTGGAGTATGCATCTGTAGTAAGTGTTCTTTATAGAGATTTTCCCGTTTACTTAGAGCTTCTTGTTATTACCTTCAGATTTCACCAATTTCAATACAATAACATCGTAACAAGATGCAAAGCTTTTTATTTTGCAAGTTTACATGTCAGATTTGACAGAACTTTTTAGTTAGACATGTCCTGGTTGTGATGGAAAGACCAAGGTAATCTGACTGCATTTTAATATGACATTGTTGCTAAGGTTGCGTAAAGAATAGGTCCTCAGTACTAAATGGCCAATTCTTGAGATGAGATTTTGTGGGCATATGCTGCCTTCTCTTATTAGCTTCTGACTGGTTATTAATGCCTTTGGATTTGAAAGTAGGGGTTCTAATTCATTGATCTGATAGTTGACGTCCAGCACTGCTTATAGGTATGTAATTCATGTTGCAGTGGCCTACCAATTTGCGATGCCTGTGATGCCTCTATGTTTGAATTTCATCTAATTTTTTGTCCTTATTTCTAATCAATATATATTACCTATAGGCATCTATTGGCGTGGCCAGGACCTTAATGCTGCGGTTATAGCTTTCGAAGGTACTCAAGAACATAGGTATGCATGTTAACTTTAGCAATTATACCTCTTACATTTGACATGCGAAGGATTTGATGAAAATTTAAGCTAAGAAGAGTAGCCTCCGGTGAGTGCGTACACAAAGCACATGGGTCTCATTGTCCATAAGAAGGGAAAACAAGTGAATCATTTCCACCGAGACATGCAAGTTATGTGCTTGTAAATTTAGAAGGAGTCATGAGGAGATCACATACTTCACTAATTTTTGTTCTTGGAAAAGTTGTTTGAACTTTTCAGTTAGTGGTTACTTCTATTTATGTCTACAAAGATACGTAACTCGGGTTGAAGATTTCTCTTGGAAACAACTTGACCTAAACTACCCCGCATGCCCGTAGCCATGGTTCTAGAGATGATGAGCCTCTTGCAAGTTGTGGATACTTCTGATTTGGAATGAGTTACAGTCTTATTCTATTGTCTTTGCTTAGGTTCATCATGGATTTATTATGCTTGTCGCTATACGACGGTGCAACCTGGTACTTTGGATGCTGTTAGAAGAGCCAGGATTTGACATCAATGTCATGGTGATAGGGCATTCTATGGGAGGGCCTATGGCATACTTTTGCGGACTTGATATCATGGTAAGATAGTTAAAAAACTTGTTATGGGTTCAGATATTGGTTCTTCTCTATTGTGTTCTTCCATTTATTCAGTTTTGGTCTGTTAAGAGTTACCCGGAATTCTCTGCCAACTCTGCCAACTCTGCCTTGAAGAGTCTAGACTCTGGAGACTCTGGATATCTTGAACTTTCTATGGCTTCATATTTATATTTACAATTGGTCAGCATCTTGTTTTTTTTTCTTTTTTGGTAAATCAACTCGTAGACAAAACACAAGCAGAATGGGTTGCAAACAACCCTTTACCTGAACCATCTATGGTCTACGTATTTAGTTGTGTGAATTGTCTTACATGTTAAGCCATGGAGCTTAAAGTTGGTTGAATACCTAAATATAGTGGATAAAGACTTCCAACTAATCATTACAAAGTTTACTTGCTGGAAACTTTATGGGATTATTGATTTGTTTATGGTCTCGATATATAACTTTTGCAAGCGCCTGAAGCTCAAATTTTATGTCATGTAATCTTGAATTGCTAATGCTTTTTAGACTAGAATATATTGATCCTAAATCTGTGTTCGTGCGCTGTTTCTGTCTGTCTCTTTCTAACCAAAAGAAGCAGCTCCTTTTCAGTCGGGCTACTGGCCAGATATGTTGTAGGCTGGAACCAATTCTAAATGTCTAACTTATGCTTTTTGTCTCAGCTTTATTGGACAAAGTGGTCCAGAGTTTTCTAGGCACCTGTTGTGGAACTGGTACCAGAAATGGTACCCACCCCAAAGTCATGTCCCATTAATTCTCTTCTCCATGACAAATAGTGATTTTTTAGGGTCAAACTTTGTCTTGAACTCAGATTATACAGACATTCACGTGGCCTATGATAGGATCATAGGTTGGATGAACTTTAGACTAAACCTTTTCTCGAAGTATTAATAGCAACTGCGACATCTTGTCTGAACACTTGGATGGTTTAAGATGTCATTTTTGTTTGCTGGTTTCTTGCTGAAAATTGTTCGAGCCGATTGTGACGTCATGCCCATGGGTCGTGGCCCTTTCCATGCGTAGTGGCCCTTTTTAAGATTTTGTTTCTCCTTTACTATTAATGACCGTAAGTTTTGGGTTTCTAGAGGCAATTTCACCACGAACCTGGAATTTCTTGTTTATGTCGAGAGGATATGACTCACCCCACCAACATCCAAGTGCTTCTTGTGGAAGCATTTAAATGCGCCTTGGTTGAAAATACACGCCCAATACCACCATTCCATATTATTAACACCTTTTTTGGATGTGAGGGTGGTGGGGTGGGTTTTGTTGTGGCTGTGGGGTTTAGTTTTGGGAAAATTATGGATGGGATCTAGACAAATTAACACTAGACCTCCAACCCTCATGGAGAGAAAGGGTTGTTCTATCATTCACCTTCGTATGTGAGATGCAATATATGGTTATTGATGCATAGTAGTTTTTCCCCACGTGAAAGTATTAACATTCAAGTAATTTGGCTGTCTAATTATGTGTGGTGGAGCTGTTTTTTCCAGACCAGTGCTCACTTGATTTACTTATATAACTAAGGACACTTAATTTCCAGGCAAATCATGAAGCACAGATTGTCCAGGTTTTTACATTTGGACAACCTAGTATTGGCAATGCAATGTTTGTTTCTTACTACTGCGTGCCAAATACTATACAAATAACTAATGGACATATATTGTGCCTCATTTGCCTCCGTACTATTCTCAGTTCCCACAAAAGACATACCATCACTTCCCTAGGGTGGTATGACTTTGATCTTGACGGAATATCAGATAAATTATGGGGAATTGTCGTTGACTGCATTTGACATTTCGTTTGCATTTATTTCAACCTATCTAACCGGAGAAGTCTTATTTTTTCCAACAATGTTCATACTCTCGTTTTTTTCAGCATATAATTTTATAGGTTTTGTTTGTTTTATCTTCTCAACAAAGCAAGGCAGTTCATAGTACTCAGGACCTTTTTAACAATATTTAAGGAACTCTTCTCATTCCTATAAAGCTATCATGAGTTTCTTGTACCAATTCCAAATTTAAGACGCGTAATAATGTGTATTGCTCTCTCTCTCTCTCTCTCTCTCTCTCTCTCTCTCTCTCTCTCTCTCTCTCTCTCTATGATGGTTGATGACCTAGTCTTGAGCTCTGTGCAATTATAAAGTATTAATCATTTAAATTATGTATGTCTACTAATGCCTATAATATTGACAACTAGCTCAATGGCAGTCACGGATAAACATATTGATGTGAGATAATGTGAAAATAATTTGATTCCACCTGCTTGTCTGGTGATAATCTTACTCTTTTTTATGTGAGTGTTCACATGTAATTGGAATCCTTCTTTTTTTGTAGGTACGGCCGTATAATATAGGATTTGTTTGTCTGGTTTATTAGGTCAAGAAAGTTTGTGATGGCTCTGGAGAAGATCCAATTTGCAGCAGGTAAGGAGGTAGCTTCAGTCATAGCTACCTGTTACAAGCAATTATTTTGTGGATTTATCATGCTAGGTGCAATAAGTCATGTGACAGATCGGCTTGTTCTAGAGAATGCCAGTCTTTTATTACCGGAAATATTTACGGATGACTTATCATAGTATGTTTCTGCAGATTGGTAACTGGTAATAGCCTCACGGACCATTTACTCTACTATGGTGCAAAATTAATGGCGGAGACGTGGGGAACGTGCAAAATTGTCATGGACCCACGATTCAAGGAATATGGAAGCGAAGACAAAGGATACCTTATGCTTTCCAGGAATCCTTCTTCTTCTGCATTGAGGCTGCGTTAAGACTCCGATGCCAAGAGTAACTTAACGTAAAATGCTCCCAAGTCAGCACCTAATTTCGTGAAGATCATTAGGTAACTCTGGATGAAGTTTGTTCATGTAATGCATTCCATCAATCTGTTTCCATGTCCATCACAAGATGCATAGGATCTCTACTAAAATTCACTTGGAATGTAAATAGCATGAAGTTGAATGTATCATCCTTGTAAACACAACTTTGTGGTACATATTGAATGAATGCGCTTGCAAGTTTACCTGTCAATCTAATCTTGGGCCTGTGGCATTTTTTACTAGACTCAATAAAACCTAATTAGGATGTGTGGATGCTGAGCTGAGCTATCCACAGCTAAATCACGCCGCTCTTTTCTTTCCTTTTTTTTCTTTTTTTGGGGGTCGAACTTGTGTTGAACTTCACAAAATTGGCAGAACTTTGTGAATTCTGGGACTGTTAGACTTGCATGGTTCAGAGATTAACCGGTTTTATAAGGCGAAACAAAGACTGTCTAGGGAGAACACTTTTCAATATGTGACCTTACCTTCTACTACTGGCTTAATGGCACATAAAAGATTTCTCGGCGCAACCAAGTACTTCGACTGTTCCATGGCAGGACAGATAAATCAAGCCATCTCGGAAAAAAATGATCTTATCTAAAGTGTGCGTCATTTCAATTGACGACCTCTGCTGGATTTCAACCTTTAGGAGGTAAGCAATTTATATCATCTTTGTTTAGACATGTAAAAATGATCTGATCGGCCTTTGGAACGAAAGCTATAAGCTTTTACCTTCTATTTTTTATATGCCGGAATTAACATTAGTGAAAACCGGAAAACCGAAATTCCTTCATCATTTCAAAGCATAAATTGCCAATTGTGAAACATTCAAAGCACGTTGTGCAAGAGACCAGTTAAGTCCTTGACACTATATGATAAGCTATAGTTTGTACATTACAATAAAAGCTAAAGTACATCACCAAAACGTTGAGAAAGATACGCTATTGTCAAATCTACGAGTTACCTGCGCTAGCCCCAGCTTACCTTTGCAATAAGAACCCGGAAGTTTTTCTTGCTTATTACCAAGAGAAAGAGCTCAGGCCGACATATAGGACTCTTTTGTCATTTAGCGATTCTCCTTACCAATGTTGAAACCTAAAGCTCCATACCTAGGTAACCGAAAATGAACAAAAGAGCTTTTATCACGGATTAAAACCTACACGTTTGACTATCCTTCATTGTTTAAGGTATAGCAAAGTTAAGTTTTACAAGGCATGGTTATTAAGTTCAAATTTAAAGTACAAACCAGCAAGTTCCAAGGACCTCACATAAATGACCCACGTGTAAATTGACAAAAGTAATGCACTTTAATGCAGTAACACTAGCATCAATTTGACTTGTCTTTTATTGGTAACTCAATTAACCCACCAAAACCGTCAAAAAGTAATATATCTAAACCAAATCAAACTCATGAAATAGATCAAAAGAAACCACGGTCCCATTTCATGAGCAGTTTACAACGTCCATCTTAAAGGTAGAAAACGGCTGCAAAAACAGCCAGTAATAACTATGCCTACAACAATAGATTTCATGTCAACTTGCCAAAGTGTGATTGTAATTTATGTATAACAGATAACGATCCCAGGAAAGACTACAGTGAATATCTCTTGAGATGACATAGGACAATAAGAAATTTGTTTAAGTTTCAAATCTTCCTTGACAACAGACTTAGCTTTGGATGCAGGACCTTTCAAGTACCACATGCACTTCTTATTGGAAAATGAACTCCTCTGCTGAGCATGTCTTCTAAATTTTTCAAGAAATGGCTGAATCTTCTAAGCAAGCCAGACATTGCATCAGTTGAACCTCTTCAAGTTGAAACGATCAGAGGCCTCACGCATGTTATCCCTTTCTGCGAAGTATTTCAACCCGATCAACTCACATTAAGGATGGCAGTGCCTTCAATCAACAAAAAGCACTGATATTCAATGACAAACAAAAAGCGCTGAGAATTTCGAGATCCTTCAACGCTTGATATTCAGCATTGAAGAATTCAGTAATGCCCGAACATCACAGATGTTACCCATGAGTGCATTCAAACGATTCTTCTGGTCAACATCATCAAAAAGGATGAGAATTCCTTCACAAAAAAGCCTATCTTTAATTGTCTTGATCCCTTCATCAACATTACTTATTTCTGTCAATTTCCTTTTGAGGATATTGGAGATGAGTTATTCTGCACGACTGAATGCCCTCGAGCTCTTCAGTTTCACGGATGTTAGAGAAAAAGCAATAGTGCTCAAAACCATGTGAAAGCTGATTGTAGATAAGTTCGGCGAGAGTCGTCTCTCCAACAAGGCCCATTCCATGAATTCCAACAATTCATGTTTCTTGTGTTGTGAGTGCCTATCATACTCATGACAAAGACTACCTTGAACACCATTTTCACATCGAGAGGTCCATGAACTGGTTTTGGCAAGAGCAACTAAGACTGCCTTGAGCACCACTCTAAGCACACAATTTTTCTCCCGGTCCAGACAATCCCTTCAAGTGTTTTCTCATAAAAGAACATCTGGGTACTGATAAGCAAGTTCTATTGCATAACAATGAAGAGAACACACATTTAGATGAAATGTAATAATCATTTTTTCAGCCCACAATAAAGGAAAAAAAATCAGGTTTGCCTAAATAGCTTTTTTACCCTCCAAAACAGATGAATACAGGGTTTACCACCCCAAGATTGTGAGAGGGAACATGATCAACATCAAATTTCATCCATCATCTGCCTTTCTTCGGTCTCCATCTATACAGCTAGGCTTCTATTACAGATAACCACCTAGGCATAACCATTTCAAGAAAATGGAGGCAATAATGGAGATCACACAAGGGTCGATTTTCAAGATTTCAAACCCCAAGTGAGACTCCTCACATGTCCGATACACCGATAATACTGAAATTTAGCCTCAACTATAATATGATTTATGATACCTTGGCCAAGCTAAATAGTTCTCCTCTCCTGTCACAGATGGAAGCTTTGCTACACCAACTATTGATGCCGCTACCCAAGTGAAATTCCTCTTTCTTCATTTTATAACTTCTCCATAACATTTGCAAATCCCGCTAAGAAGCACACCTTTCCTGAAAAATAAATTGAACATAAGCATATCAATACAATGTCTTCTTCACAATAGCAACAATGAGTTAATTATGCTGTAATATTCCAGGATGAGAACCATAGTGCTATGACCTTCCAACACACATTTCATCTGATTGTTTACAGTATAGCAAAGTTATCTCCAATGTGAAGCAGAGGGTATCACCTTCGAAATATGTGAAGCAGCAAATCGACAAGGATATCTAATGAATTGTCATAAATCAAATAATAACGATGCAATCCACATGCATACCTCCAGCTGGGAAACATAAACGCAAGGAGAAACCATCCACAGAGAATATAGCTAAAAAAGCCAAACCAAACTAGGAAAAAAAAACATATATTTGTACATAATTAAGAACCCTCTGGTTATACGGAGGTACCATAATTTCAATACCTTCTTCAGATTTCCAGGCATCAACTCATAAAGTAAATAAAAAGAGGACATAAAACTTCACTTTGGATGTCATTTTCATTTTCCTTTATTCGGTCTTCATTTGTACAGCTGCCCAATTAGCCACAGCTCCTTGCGCAATAAGATTTCTGTGAGTTTTTCAAACTTTAATTCCTCTCAACATCATTAGAAATTGGCAAAAAGGCAGTTTGAGATCTCTCACTTAGCACTTCTTGTCAATCTTAAAACCTAAAAGAATCCTCTAGTATAACCGAGGTGAAAGGAAGGGCTTTTATGATAGATAATCACCGAGGCATAACCATTTCTAGAAAATGTAGGCAACAATCGAGATCACACAAGAGTTTCATTTACATGATTTCAAACCCCAAGTTAGACTTATCATATGTCCTGGGCAGTAGGTAACGATATTACTGAAATTTAGCCTTAACTGTAAGACGATTTATGATACCTTGGAGGTGGAAGTTTTGCTGCACCAACTATTGATCCGCTACCCAAGTAAAATTCCTCTTTCTTCATTTTATGACTTCTCCATAATATTTGCAAATCCCACTAAGAAGCACATCTTTCCTGGAAAATAAACTGAACATAAGCATATCAATACAGAGTGTCTCTCCTCTTCACGTATGTCGTAAAGTTTCGGGATGAGAACCATAGTTATTATATGACCTTCGACACATATTCCATCTAATTGTTTACAGTGACAAGGAAGTTATCTCCAATGCGAAGCAAGGTTATCAACTTCGAAATAAGTGAAGCAACAAATCAACAAGGATATCTAATAATTTGTTACAAACCAAACCAAATAAAAACGATGCGATCGGCCTGCATACCTCCAATTGGGAAACATAAAACCAAGGAGAAACCATCCAAAGAGAATATGGCGAAAAAAGCCAAACCAAACTAGTAGAAGAGAACGAATGTCTGTACACAATTAAGAACCCTCTGGTTGTCCGGAGGTATCATAATTCCAATACCTTCATCAGACTTTTAGTCATCAACTCGTGAAAAGGTAATTAAAAAGTGCATGTGAAACTTCTCTGTTCATATCCGTGAAAGAGTTTGATTGCAAAAAAGGGAAAACATTGGTTGTCAGATGAAATAACTTACCTCAATTCGTTTAAAGTTTGCACACAAGGGAACAATTTGTGGTCGGCGATCAAGAAGCTTTCAAGAGCAACGTGCACTTATCCGTCAGTCTTCTCCCTCAGATCCATATTCAAATTCGTATCCAGATTCGTCATCTTCTCCTTCTGATTCGTCTCGTCTCCCCGAAATCTGACTGCCTTCTCGGAGCAAAGCAAAGAAATTGCCTCCACATTTAATTTCCCGCAACGCCTTATATCAACAGATCGCAGTCCCTTCGAGCTTGATAGATCAGGCAACTTCTGTAAAGATCCACAGTCATGAATAGTCAATTCTTCCAAACATTGTGGTAGTTCGCCTTGAATCTCAACCAGATTACTGCAGTTCCACAGATGAAGATACCGTAGTTGGTTGTTATTACTTAGATCAGGTAATACCCACACCTGTTGAAGTTCCGAAAGCTGCAAATCTGGGTTCTCCGAACCATCAAGGCCTCGAATCTCTGAGATTACACAGTTAGTAATCCAAAGATATGATAGGTTCGTCAAATTCGATAGATCCCCGGGGAAAACAAATGACTTGCAACCATACAAACTCAATAATGATAAACTGGAGGGAAGGCTCAGGCGGCAACGCAGATTACGGCAGAAGAGTATAAGTGTTTGGAGTCGGGGAAGGAGACTCCAACAATCTGTGGGTAAGGCGGTCATGTGTTCAGACTCCAATTCCAAGGATAATAAACTGGAGGGAAGGCTCGGGAGGCAACGCAGATTAGGGCACCAGAGTTTAAGTCTTTGGAGTCGAGGAAGGAGACTACTAATATCCGTGAGTAAGTGGGTCACACGATAAGAGGATAGGTCCAGAGTCTCCAGTTTGCTTAAATTCCCAATCCCCCCTGGCATCGGATATTCTTGCACAGGCCCATCAGATTCCCAACCAGCATTATGTTCGCTAAGCCACAGCTTCAATTCCTTTAAATTAGTCAGGTTTGAGAGATCTGGAAACGTATCCATATGCAAGTCATGCAACTCTAGAATGATAAGACTTTCAGGAAGCCTCGGTACCACGTATATTGCAGCATTCCACAATTTCAAGATCCTTAGGGATCGATTTCTATAGATGCAATTGCCAATTTCCACTTCCACATTGAAATCGTCTGTAAATTGGACATCTATTTCTTCGAGCTTCTCAATTGTCCAGAAGGCATCGGGTATTTTACTTATGTCATTTAAATCCATCTTCACTACTTTCAAATTTTTCAACTTTCCGATGGAATCGGGTAGTTCTTTGATCTCCGTTTTGGTTATATCCAGCTCAATCAGTGATTCCAAATTTCCGATGGAATCGGGTAGTTCTTTGATCCCCGTTTCGGATATATCTAGCTCAATCAATGATTCCAAATTTCCGATGGAATCGGGCAATTCTTTGATCCCTGTTTGGGATATATCCAGCTCAATCAGCGATTCTAAATTTCCGATTGTATCCGGAAGCCTCTCGAACGATATGCAACATTTCAGAGATAGGTATTCAAGGCTCGCAAGATCTCTACCTAGCTCGTCTGGCAGCCTCCGAAGATTGTTACAAGAGCTTACATCTAAGGAAACTAGGCTTTTCAAATGACAAATCGACCTATCAATATCAGTTAATGATTCACAGCCCTTTAGGATCAATCGTTCTAAATTTACCTCAGCAGAGAAGATGGGAGTTCTCTCCAAGCAATCGCATCCGGTCAAATTCAAAATTTTCAAATTCTTCATCACCTGTGAAAAGAAAAATCATGCAAAGATTATTTTTGAATCTCATAAGACGGAATAATAAGTGTTGTCTAGCATATAACATACCTCCATATGGCTCCACCCCTTCCAATCATCCGTAATTTCACTGTTAGATAGATCAAGAATAACCACATTCTCCATGGAGAAATTTGCAATGTTAAATGTTGGGGGAATACCGTGCCAAGAAAGCCATCGTAAATGCGGAAGGAGATACGAATTCTCTCGAAAAACATTAGCCGGAAGAACATTTGATGGTGATTCGTGCCAAAGAAGCCTCTCTTCAACACAAAAATGTTCCTCCAAACCGTTAACTCGAAGAAACCCCACATTTGATATTCTCTTAAAATCTTTACGGGTAAAACGGTACTGCAGCTCATGGTCAAAGTGTAGATGAAGAGCTTCAACTTTTGTTTTTCCCTGCCCAATGGTAAAATTTAGAAACAAAAGAGTTGAAGCGAAACACATTTATTCAAGTTCACTATTTTAACGGGTTGAGTTGGAGTACTATCGTTACTTTAATCTTGACAGAGCAAAAATATTGGTTTGAGTAGGTCACAGTAGTGCTAGAGAACACAAAAAAGTAACTTGATTTTTTTTTAAAAGGAAAATGTCCACAAGTAACATGGAGATTCATCGCACGGGGGATTTTACCTTACGTCTCCTCAGCAAATCCAATGCTTCCTTGGGATCCCATACCCTCCTTTGCTTCTCTATTTTCATCTTACTTTCTTGACGAGCCATTTCTCTTCCGAAATCTCTGAGTTGGTCATGCATCAACACTTTATTATACTCTCCAATCTTTATCAAAGACATGTTCTGCAGAACTTCCATATCTACTTTTGGAAAAAATTTAGATTTTTCCCAGAAATGGACCACAATGTCTTTGTCATGTCCAATGAAAAAACAAGCTATATCGAGGAATATATGTTGTTGTCGAAGTTCTAATGCATCATAACTTATTTTTAGCTTACTCTGAACATCCACATGAGGAACCTTTTCCAACTTCTCCAATATGTCATCCCAGCTTTTCTTTTCAGTGCCAGATAAAAGTGAACCTATGACCTCAAGAGCTAGCGGAAGACCTCTAGCAATGCCTATTGCCCTCTTGGATTGGTCAATATACTCAATCAAAGGAGATTCTCTTCTGAAAGCATGTTTGCTAAAGAGTTGAAGAGATTGACAGTCATCCATGCCATTAACCTCATAAGTGCAGTCCACTTCCGGAACAATGAGAACATCTTTCTTTCTTGTAGTAATAATGAGTTTGCTCCCTTCACCAAACCAATCACCATTTCCTACAAGTGCATCCATATGATCCTTTTCTGCCACATCATCGAGAAGAAGGAGGACTCTTTTATTAGACAACCTGTCTTTAATGGTCTTAATCCCTTCATCAATATTTCTTATATCCATGCATTTCGTGTTGAGGATGTCAGAGATGAGCTGATGCTGCAAGCGGTGAATGCCCTCGAGTTTTGAGGTTTCACGGACGTTAGAAAGGAAGCAACAACCATCGAAATTTTTTTTTTTTTTTTTTGGGTTTTTTGGGTAAAGCCCTCGAAATTTTTTTTAAGCTTATTGTAGATGATTTTGGCAATAGTCGTCTTTCCGATGCCACCCATCCCGTGGATTCCTATAATCCGTGTTTCACTTGTCTCAGCACCTATCTTTTCCATGATTGCGTCCACATGGTTGTCGACACGGACCAAGTAGTCTGATACCGCTAGATAACCCTTTTTCAACTCGCTGAAAACCTTATGGGTAAGTTCTTTTGCGAACTCTCCTTCTCGCCTAGTGTTTGTTGGAGGCAAAAGACAATGAGTTAGAAAATTGTGTTGAATTAACTATGTTCTGACAAGACCAAATTAAATTCGGAATGTGTTCTTCAAGGATTTATTCCATTGTAGATGAATTAGCGTTGGTACTTACAGTTAATGAATGAACTAAACTGGAAAAAAAAATGATGCTTGGAATAAAATGGGACAAAATTGGGATTGTGCCATTACTTAGCGAGATTTCAGCAGTGTAACTTCAATAACTCAGAATTCAATTTAAACAGGGCTAACAAAAATCTAGAAAAGAAACCTGAAACACATCAAGTTTTAATGGTACAAGGTACATGAGATGGAATGCTTAAAGCAATCACCTGTTCTCCTTCTTGCTATGCAGGTCCCATCCGTTTATTGCTCCCACTGCACTGAGAGCATCCTTCCACCCTTGAATAGTCTTTTCGTCGTGTCGCTTCTTGTTTTCATGTGCAAGAAAGGCCTGTGCATAACCCTCTGTTTGGTGCCGAACCTCTGAAGGTGCCACATCATAAAAAATAGGGATGATCTTCTGTCTTCCAGTTTTCTGGCACTCGACCATCTGGACTAACTCCTTGAGACACCATACGCTAGAGGCATAGCCTTTCGAAAAGATAGGTATTGAGATCTTCGACTGATTAATTGCTTGGAGAAGTTCCGGGGCAAACTCTTCCCCAACGCCGAGCTCTTCGTCGTCCTTAAACGTGCGGATTCCCGCATCTTTAAGACTAATGTAAAGGAAGTCGGTAAAACCTGCTCGAGTATCTGATCCATTGAAGCTTAAGAATACTTCATAGTCATATCCTGATGAAGTAGCCATTCCTTGACCTTCTGTTGAAGTGTGAGTAGAAGAAGCGCCTCCTGCTGTTGCATCATTTTCACAGATGCGTCTTTTTTTGCCCTCCCCTCCATTTGATCTCACTTGATCTTCTCTTCAAGGAACAAAAATTGAAAAGTATAGCAGCAAAAGCAGTGGCAGCTAGAGATGGAAAATGTTTAGAAGCCAGAACTAACAAACGGAGATCTCGGTGGGTCATTAAACGTGGAAGACAGGGTTGGCTCAATATGCAGAGAGTCAGGGTCTCCAGTTTGCTACAGTTGGTCAATAAGAACGTTTCATTACAGCCTGTCAAAGTTGACGAATGCAGGTTTTTTCAAAACCAAAGTGGTCCCTCCCAACTCAATTCTTCTCTTTTATCTTCACCGTCATAACGCAATTGAAAAAAACAGGAAGATACAATTGCGGAGTAAATAAACTAGTGGAATTCTAAAAAGATGGGAGCAATCGAGTACTTTCGGTTATGATGCTCTTCAATTTTAATAATCTTAGTCTTTGTGGAGTTTCTGACAACACCGCGTTGTGATGAATGGCCCGCGCACTCGCCCGTGGCGCGTTTTCGCTGGTACATAATTGTAGGGTCACTTTCGTGGTTTGGGTGTTGAGTCGGGGCTATTTTGGGGAAAACAGCCCCCCATCTGGTCATACGAGTTGTTGTTCCTGTGCCTGATCGCGGAGATTTTCTTTGACGTTTTTGTTCTCCCACACGCGCAGATAAATGAATTATTGGTGTGATTCCTTTTTGTTTTGGTCGATGTGTGATTCCTTCTTGAGAAATCTGGTTCACGGACTGTTCGTAGTCCAAGTCTTCGAATACTTTGACTTTGCCCTTCTAGTTCCGTGACACACATCTCCTCCCCCCCCCGCGCTGTTCTTTTATTTTATTTTTTCTTTGGAGAGTGATAGCTATTGCAATTTTTAATCTAATGATTGTATTTCGATGCAAGGCAAAACTATATGTATATGGCAATTTCGTAATTTCCATTTAGTTAAATTAGACAGTATCAACTTTTCTGATGATTGATGACACGATTAGTTAGTCTATTTAAAGATCAAAGTTTCTCTGAAGATATGGTGTTTATTTTGTAAGTATTTTTCAAGTTTCTACATTAATTTTGTGGTAACTGAACATTTCGTGTTTCCCCATAGAAAATAGCCACTTCGCAACTCAAGTTTCACGATACTGACTCAATGACAACCAACATAAGCAGTAGCTACCAAAACTATCTTCTATCAACCATTCTTTAGCCAACCAAAGTCACCCGTAAAGAATTGGTACGTACAATATCATAAGCTTTTCAGAGTCCGGATTATGATCAATCCAATGATGAATAAACCAAGTATCGCTTCCCCTCCATTGATCTCACTTGATCTTTTCTTCGAGAAATGGTTCAGAGATGAAAAAAATTCAGAAGCCCTACTTATCAAATGCTACCAGCCAAAAAAGAGAAAATCGTTTATCGAATGGTGGCCACCTATCAATCAACTATCAAAGTAATAAACCCACCGAAGACCTCAACCGTCGTTCACGACGAAACTGGTTTGCGAGAATCCAAGGAAAACCTGGTTAAAAGCAAAAAGTGATAATGAAAAGACATAAAGCAATACGGCAAAGAAAAAGAAGATGGGTCATCCTAACGCGGAAAAGAAGACCCCTGCCAATGCTTTAGCGTGCCTTTTTGTTGTCGGCAAGATTTTTTCCCTTACCGAGAGGAATTTATTTTCATAGTTATATTCACGAAAAATTGTCATTGAGATCCTGTTTTACCATCTTCTTTATTTAACTTAGGGTCAGTTTGTTTGATAAAAAATCATTTTTGAGAAAAAAATTTCCATACTTTTCCGGTATTTGAATTACGTGAAATTATTTGATCAATATAAAATGTTTACCATGGACTAAAAATAATAAGCTTAGAGAATAATGATTTGGTAAAAAGGAATCGTTTTTCCTGATCTCTTGCTGTGTTGAAGTGAGAAGAATATACTTCATCAGTGCTAAATTTTCTTACATTCCCAAAAACAAGATCATATATAATACTTTACAAATATGGTTTCATAATTTTTATCCTAATTTCTTTGTAATCATTGTTATTTTGATGGGATTACAAAATACACAAAGACGATATCGATTCGAGCTTATTAGTCATTATATGTTACTTTTAACGATACAAGCCGCCTTTAATGGATTTCACTTATTACCAATTACGATAAAATCAATTTTTTCAACTTGTTTTCACCATAATCAATTTTTTTAGTTTAATTTCTCTGAAATTAAATTTCCTAAAAAAATTTTCCTATGACAAGAAAATCCTCACCGAGATAAACACACTCTAAAAGTTTGTTTTTATGTGATTTTCAATTTTCATATGATGATATTTGATCGGAGGGAATCGCAAGATGAATCATTGGTGTGATTCCTTCTCGAGCAAGTTGGTTCATGGACTGTTCGTAGTCCGAGTCTTCATAGACTTTTGACTTTGCCCTTCGAGACCCGTGATGTTTCAGTCTTCTTGCACCAACCGTATGCTGTTCTGTCTTTTTTTCTTCTCTCTTTCTGAGAGTGGTAGCTAATGTTAATACTACGTTAAAACGAGGCATAGGGAGCTTAGGTTTTAGATTGTTGGCGTCCGCATCAAAATCAAATCGACCAATCTCATGCAACTATTAATCTAATGATTACATTTCGAATCAATACCAAACTATATGTACATGACACATTCCATTTTCATTTAGTTAAATTAGACAGTATCAATTTTTTTATTTGATTGATGCCATGATTGGCCAGATTATTTAGAAAATAAAGTTTTTGCTTGCGAGTATTTTTCTAAGTTTCTAAATCAATTTCGCTGTAACTAAACATTTCATGTTTCACGATAGATAATAAAATCTCGTTAGATCCGGAGGTGTAAAAATGTTCCATTCCTGAATTCACAAGTTCTTAAGTCTTTTTAGACATAAATCCTAGTGTGACCAACAAAAAATTTAAGATTGAAGATATTAAATCACGATGACTCGATGAGTCAAAAAAACCTCTTGGGAAGTATCAAATTCCCTGAATTGAGACCAATGGAAAATTAAATTTGTTCTCTGATAGCTTTAGCTTTGATTATACTCCACCAAGCTTTTGGTTTACTAATCGAAAGTTTAGAAGTCTCATTGCAGATTTTTTTAAATCTGACTCCTTTCGTTCGAATCGAAATCGAGCTTCCTCCATTAGCTCAAAAGCTCGGGGAAGAAGAGAAAATAGGTGGGATCCCACTGCCTGACTCCTACTCTTATCAAAGGAAAAGAAAGACTTTTTGTATAGATGCATGGGGGCCTTAAGTATCAAGACCCTTTGTTCCTCCTTCACCACAGAACATTAAGAAACTAATAAGAGGAAGATTTTTTTGAATGACTTTTTGGTTGGTCATTGAACTTGGAGAAGCCAAAGGATTGGGTGAATATGGAGAGAGAGCCGTGGGCCAGTTTTGCTGCAAAATTGGTCAATAAGGATGCTTCCTTGAAGCATCGCTCCCAGCCTGTCAAAATTTGATAATTATTTGCGTTCCTTAACGCGGCAAAATTACTGGACGTGTGGTGCAGATATTGTGGGGATTACAATCAACTTTTGCCACCCAAACAAATAAATGGGCGGATTCATTCAAAGTCGAAGTCAACAAAAGCAGACATCAAACTTCCAACCAAGTTCGTTTGCCCCCATCCTAATCAAGGTGAACTCCGGTCGGTCTAGTTTGATGGGCTGATCAGGCTAAGAAAAAAAACCAAGAAATAAAAGACAAGTGTTGTGATGGCATACGTTAGACAAGGGGCTAAGGTAGAAACTCTGAAATTATCTACTAAACTTATTTGTCAAATCTGCGATATAGATATCTTGCTGCAATATAAAATCGAAAGGTCAAGACTTTTTTCAAAGAAAATTAAGATTCCATGTCATCTTAATACAAAACTGAAAATTTATGTTCTCCCTGATAAAGTAGAAAGTTAAGGACATTTTTAATAGCAATTTGGAAAGCTCAAGATTCTCTAGATCTGGAAAATTCAGTTTTTCCGAAAATGACCTTTTTATAAAAAAAATGAGAACCGTTTGTATTTTCACACTTGTATAGTATCTATTTTCATGAATCCATTCTTTCACTTGCTAAGATGATTTGATCAATATCACTTAATATATCAATTTTAGTATACTTATTAACATTACTTGTAAATAACCCGGATTTATTTTGTTAAACTTCAAATGACGAAAAGCCCGTGCTTATTGAGTAAAAGTGCACATCTTTTTTAACAACATTGATGAAAAAAAAACCACATACTGCTAGCAATTGTAATTAAATTGCCATTAAGTAAAACCCGTCATGTGAAACGGCGAACTTGTGTTATTTTACAAATTATCATTGAAAATCTCCAGAAATTATTGAATTTGTGCTATGGAATCATTCATCAGATGCTGCCGGCCAAAAAAAGGAAATCATCTAATCAAATGGGGGCCGCCTATCAATTAACTATCGAAGTAATTAACCCGCCGGGAACCTCAACCGTCATTCACGGCGAAATGGTCCGAGAGAATCTGAGGAAAATCTCAATAAAAGAGTAAAGTGATAATAATGAAAAGATATAAAGCAATAAAGCAAAGAAAAGGAAGATGGGTCATGCTAGTGTGGAAAAAGAAAACCCACCAACGCTTTTTAGCGTGCGCCTCTTTCGGCAGGACTTTAGTCAAAAGTAGCCCGCAAGGCAAAAGAAGAAGAAGAAGAAGAAGAAAAACAACAACATGAGGATGCATTTCGGTGGCAAGAAATCATTCACTATTGCTCCTTCCTGTTTTGCCCCTTCTTGTCCCGAGGAATTCCTTTTCATAGTTATATTCACGAGAAATCATCCTTGAGATCTTGTTTTACCATCTTCACTTTTGTTCTGACTTTAGTCGTGGGGGCTTGGATATCCGGAAGAAAGTAACAATTCTTGTAATCGCACGAAAGCTGATAGTAAATGATTTTGGCAATAGTCATTTTTTCGATGCCACCCGTCCCATAGGTTCCGATGATTCGTGTTTCACTTGATTGAGCACCTATTATTTTCATGAATTTATCTCCTGGTGATCGACACTGACCAAGCAGTCCAGTTAGCCTTTTTCAACTTAACTTTTAAGAAAAGTGGAATGGAATATATTCTTGCTTTGCTTTTGTCCTTTTTCGCTACGCGCTCGAGACCTTAACATTTGTCCACCTTCTTTTTAGCATTTCACTTTTTCTCTTCTGCTTTTCGGGACAAGATAGAATATGAAGGGATATGATTGTTCACTTTGAATCTCTTTATTGGCATCAATTATGTGGTCTATCGTCATACAAATCTGACATTTATCAATGACTTCTTTTTTCTTTTTTTTTGGATCTGGATTTATCAACGACGTTAGCTTGCAAACACTTGCACAATTTTGTTCCAAAGGGTAATACTTTCCAAAAAAAAGAAAAAAAAAAGATGGAATTGTCCCTCACATTCT